CAATCAATTTTCTTTGTAATCTTAGGAATTTTATTTCATGTGTTTAAAAACCTCATTCTGAGAAGTGGTCCATAGAATTTACCACATTACCAAAGAGGTGCAAATGCAGGAAAGGTTAAGAATGCCCTTCCACATCAATGATTCCATGATGGCCCTTTTCCCCCATGTCCTTTCTCTGGGTGTAGCCTCTGTTGGCCAGATCCCAGAGGGAGTACAGTGTGCTCTGGTTGACATGGGGATGGTCCTGGTGCTGAATAAAGGGTGTTCTTGGGGGAGGGGAGGGGCATAGTCTCCAGGCTCTGGGTCAAAGTCACTCTAAGGTAGTCAGATAGCACTGCTTTGCTTCTCTTTCTCAGAGGAGGTCCAGTCTCCCTCCTTCACCCTGCATGGCTTCCTTTCATCTCTCCACTTTCGTTCCTCCTAAGAGCACCCAGGTGAGGCAGATGGCTTGTTTTTCTCTCTCAGTCAGCCACATCAAAGTTCTCTCGACTGACCTTGCATAAGCCATTCACTTTGGGGCCCTTTCTGGCTGGGATGCTCCTGACTTGGCCTGATTGGCACCCTACCCTGAGGTGCCTCAGGGACCCAGAGAGAAGGAAATTCTGGACCACTATAAAGTGCTCCCCAAGATTAATCCCTAGTGATCCATGCAGCAGCAAGCATTTATCAAAAGCCTCAGGGATTCAAAGACAAAAGTGAAGCTTTCGGGGGGAGGATAGACTCATACGTCATCCTGGAGATGGGAGCAGAACAGAGGGGAATTAGGGCACATATTCAAACTCTCCCCAACCTGGCTGAAAATAACAATAATAACTGAGATTTACATAGCACTTTAAAGTTTTCAACATGCATCATCTCCCCTGTTCCTCAGTACAATGTCTTAAAGAAGGACTATAGGTTTTATAAACCCCATTTTACAGAAGAGGAAAACTGAAGATCACATAGCTAAGAGTAGGATTTGAATCCAGGGCTTCCTGGCTCCAAGACCAGCACTTAGCTGAATCTACCACTCAGCCTCTATAAAAGAAATAAAGTTTGGCCAAAAGTAAGGCAGGGAAACAATTACCCAGATTCCACATCTGTTTCCTCCAGTGAAAGGAGGGTCCCCATCACAAAAGGACCAGAAGGGTGGACAGATGGTAGCTCCAACAGAGTGCTAAGTATTGCCCCAATGTTGCCTGATGCTGCCTTCACATCTTATCTCCAAGTCTATCCTCTCCCCCTGTCTGATGTGGCCTGTGCCTTCTTTCCTGGGGACCTTCAGAGAAGAGTGAGTGACTAGGCAGATGGACCCAAGAGCCGTTTACTTTCAGATGGCACCCCCTCCTGCAGACTGTGTGGAAAGGCATGCAGGTTTCCCTCGCTCCAGGATGGACAGAGTGCTAGGCTCTTAAAAGACCCCCAAGTCCCCAGAGACATCATAGTTTGGGAATCCTTCTAGGACCCCAATCTTTGCATGTTGTGGCTCATTTCTAAGGGATCTGAACATCTATAAGAGGGAAAAGATTATGGCGTCCCAAACAATGAGAGCAAGATGGCACCTCAGAGACCATCTAATATAAACTCCTCATTCTACAAAAGAGGAAACTGAGGCCTTGCCTAAGATGGCATGTGCACTAAATACAGACAAATGATTCGATCTCAGGACCCACAACTCCAAATCCATTCCCCCTTCTGTAATACTAGTAAAGTCTGCCAAGGAAGGCTCCTATCTCCAACTTGGTAACCAGGAAGACAATTCCATGGTCTCTGCATGACATAGCAGAGACGTCTCAATCTGGGGTAAGATCCCCAAGGACAGAGCGGGGCATCAGGATAGGAATATGTTTACATGGTGCTGAACAGATGCTAACAGCTAGAAAATTCTGTCAATATGTAGATAGTACACCTATGTGACATTTTGCCTGACTGATACGTTACCCAGCCTCAGCTCTGCTCTGCCTCAGGGATGCTAGGACATCTGGGAGCCCAGAATTACATAATTTAGATGGATTTTTTTTTCTTTCAGTTTTCAAAGCACCTCCATATCCATTACCGTATTTGATTTAATGTTGTTGTTCAGTTGTTTCAGTTGTGTCCTACTCTTCATGACCCTATTTGGGGTTTTCTTGGCAAAGATACTGGAGTGGTTTGTCATTTCCTTCTCCAGCTCATTTTACAATTGAGGAAACCGAGGAACAAAGGGTTAAGTGACTTGCCCAGGGTCACACAGCTAGCAAGCATCTGAGGCCAAATTTGAACTCGTCTTCCTGACTCCAGGCCCTATGGCTTATCCACTGGGCTACCCAGCTGCCTTGATTAAATGTTATTTCCCCATATGAGTAACTTCAGTGGCTCCCCACTGCCTCAAAGATAAAATGCAAACTCTTTAGCTTCGCATTTCAATCCTTTCACAAATTGCTTCCTGCCTACCAATCTAGGTCTATGTTCTATGTCACATAACACCCTTTCATGTGATTATCATGCCCATTTTATAGAAGAAGCAACTGAGGCTCAGAGAAATTAAGTCACTTGCCCAGGGTCACACAGCTAGTAAGTAGCAATGGTGGGATTCAAACCTAGATCTCCCAGCACCTGGTTAGTGTTGTTTCTATGACTCCATGCTGCTCCTCCATCGAACATTTGACCTACATCCAGAAAAATCGTGGATAAACTTTGGTCAGCCCCAAACCCACAGTAATGACCTCTGCCTTGTGGCATGAAGTTTAGGCTGGGGGCTGGCCTTGTTTGGACTTTGCTAAAAAAAAAAAAAAAAAGTTTGCCGGGGCTGTATGGAATTCTATTCTAGCCCCTGAATACCTTGGTCAATCTCTCTGTTTCAGTCTGCTTCCCATAAAGGAGCTGAATGTTATTTACCTGCCTTGAAGCAATATGAGGGAGGATTAATTAATTAATGTTTGTAAAGTGCTTCAGAGACCAAAAAGCTTCGTGTAAATGCCAGGCGGCTAATGAATCTGGAGCCTCCTGTGCTGCAGCTCCAGGATAAGGGGTCTGTTTGCTAGTGGATAAAAACAGCTTCTCAGTCTCGAAAATTAAAATTACACATTTTTAAAAATTGCATTTTGACGTGGAAAGATTAACTGCACACTCTGGCCCCAGTGCCACCTGCCGTCGCTGAATTCTGAGGCTTGGGAGGGAATGAGCGTCCTGAGCCTGAAGAGCAGGGCAAGGGAAATGCATGGGGGCGGGGAAGGGAGAGGGACTGAGGCTCTGGCCATTGCAAGCATCAGGGTTGGGGAGGCTCTTTGAGGAAGAGAACACTTGAGTCAACCCAATGACTGGGGCCAAGACCCTGAGCTTGCAAAGCATGATCTTTGGAGTTGGTTGTGTTTAAAATACAGAAAGGGAAGGTGAGTCCCCAAACAGGGTCTTTTCAGAAACCTCTGGACCAAATCCCAGTTCTTTTGGGAGAACACGACCTTTTATTTTGTGTTTGACCTTCCTGGCAGAAGACCACATGCTTTTGTAACTAAAAATAATGAATGAAAGCTCAGCTCCCCAAGCCTAGGTCAGGAGGAGTTACTGGCAAATCCTCCTGAGCAAAGCATTCTCTGTGTTCTCACCAGCTCCTGGAACACCAAGGACCCAGCACTCAGCATTACTGGGCCAATGTGGTCGTCATTCACTTTGGACCAAAACTCCTTGAACAGGGTAGTACATAGATTCTTTTCAGAAGCTTTTAGATGCCAGAAATTGGCTAAATAGCAGAATCCCAATTCTCTTCTTTCTCCCCTGTCCCTATATTCTTCTTCTTTCTCCTTTTTTTCTTCCCTTTTCTTCTCTTCCTGTGCCTTCTCCTCTTCTCCCTTTCACTTTCCTCTTCCTTTCTGTCCTCTTTTCCTCTACCTGTTCTTCTCTTCCCCTTCCTCTGCATCTTCCTTTTCCACCTCCTTTTCTTTTTATTCTTCATCCTTTCCTTTTCTCTCATCTCCCTCCTCTTCCCCTTTCTTTCTCTCCTCTTTTCTTCTCTTCCTCCTCCTCTGCAGCCTCCTTTTCCACCTCCCTCTTTTCTTTTTCTTCTTCCTCCTTTCCTTTTTTCTCATTCCCTTCCTCTTCTTCATCCTTTCTTTCTCATCTTTTTCTCTTTCTCTACTTCCTCATTTCCTCCTACTAATTCTCTTCCATATTTTCCTCCTCTTTCTTTCCTTCTAATTCTCTTTTTCTTTTTACTCCTTTTTCTCTTCCCTTTTTTCTCTCCTTTTTCTCTTACTTTTCTATTTTCTCTTTTTTCTCATTTTCTTTGTTCCTTTTCTTCCCCTTCTTTCTCTTCTCTCTCTCTTCTCCTCCCTTTCTATTTATCCCCCTTCTCTTTTTCTTAATTTACCTCTCCTCTTTCACTTATTAAAAGAGAAGACATACTTTTAGCTGGCAGGGCTTCATCTCTAAGCCTAGCTTCCTGTGCTGTCAATTCTGCAGCCCTGAACAATGACTTCATCTTTAGTCTGGTCTTTCATTGTAAAAGCAAAAACCTGATAAGAGAATCCAACTTCTTTCCAAGTATGTCAGGGGGAAAAAAATCAAACCTTAAACAAAATAAACTGGAGTCAAGGTGGCCAGCCCCCTAATTAAGATTCCCTTGGGAGAAAGAATGAATGACCTGGAATAAGACCCTGATAAGTGTGGATAAGCGTCCAGGGAATTCTCTGCTTTGGGGGGCTCAGAATAATTTCCCTTGTCCAGTATTTCTGTGTGTCTCCACCACGCTGGGTAAGAGAAACAGGATGTAATTCTTAGCAGCTCACGAAAACACAGTTTTTTTGCACCCAAAGTGCAATAACCAGAAATACTCAGGCAGGTTCCAGCTGCACTGCCTAAGCAGGTCTATAGAGAACTCCATCCCCTGAGCTCTTCTGTTCCCCTGCTGCCGAGACAATTTTATTTGTGAGTCTGTTGGACTATGGAAACAGCCTACAAATGTGATAATACATGCAAGGCCATGTGATCCCTCAGGAGGAGGGCAGTGTACTCAGAAATCTTTGGTTCCCATCACAAAAGCTTACCAGCCAATGTTGAATTCCACATGAGCGTCAAAGAAACCCACGATCGGAGAGGTTGCTGCTTTCCAGCCCTGAATGCGAGCTCGGATGAGTCCTTCCCTCTTGGTATTGCGGACTATTTTCACCAACCCTGGGTATCTCTTATTTACATACTGGTCCAGATTAAATTTTAGCTCCACTGTAAAAAGAACAGAACGACAGGGCTCAAAGTGAAGGAAGTGGGAGGTAGCAAATCCCTTCTGATCGACTGTGCCAAAGGACGAATGAGGCAATGAAATCCAAGCCGACGCAATATCATGCAACGCAACATGATACAACATAACGCCATGCAACACGATTTTTTTTTGTTTTTCAATTCATGGGATACAAAATTACAAGCAATGCTTAAGTCCTTGCTGTGTTCACAGTCCAGGGTCTGGTAGAACATTACGGACTTGTCACTTTCCCCTAGAAACCTTCCTGGATTAACCTTGCCCCTAATAATAATTTTGCCCCTAACAATATTTCCCTTAAGAGTAATTAAGGGAAATAGGTCTGTATAGCAGATAGAGATCTGACCTGGAAACCAGCAAGACCTGAGTTCAAGCCCTGTCTCTGATATAGGTTGTCTGTGTGACCCTGGGTACCTCACTTGACCTCTCTCTAGGCAGTTCTCTAAGACTGTAATTTGTGGAGGAGGTGCCCATCTGCATGGGTGGAAAGAATTCCCTCACCTAGGAGTTTTCTCTAACAATGAAATCCCAGATCCAGTCCTTGTGCCTCCTAGGAATGCTCCCTGACTCTCCATCCCTTCAACACTCTCTTCTTCAGTTAATGGAATGATAACATCTAGAAGCCATAGTGAATAGCCTTCTAGATTTATCAGAAAGGCCTGGGTTCAAATCCTACCTCTGACAGCTATTAGCTGCGTGACTATGAGTAAGTCATTTAACCTCCACATGCTTCAGGCATCTACATAAGGCTTATTAAGCAGTGTCCAGCTAATAACACATGCACCTGGAGACTTCAGGGACACGGGAGATCAGAAATGATTTATGGAAACATATATAGATTGTAGGGGGTGTCTTTGCTATGAAGAATTCTCATGGCCTTTGTGCACATGGGTTAATACCAGCACCTATTAAATGGCCTGCTAAGGTCACACAGCCTTAAAATAAATGGCATGTGTGGCTTGTATTCACTTTAGCATCATTTCATACATGTCTAATCTATCTCTCCAAATGGGATATGAGATCCCCAAAGGCAGGAATCATGTCTTCTGAGCCTCCTGTCTCCTCTGTAGAATAGGGAAGCAAGGACTCAGCACTGTTTGGGGCCCTTAGTAAAGCCTTGTTAATTCACAAAGGATCATGGCTCATAAGAGTTAGAGTTTGGAAGGGACACCAGTGCTGCCCAGTTGAGACTGGGTATTTAACTCAAAGAGTCACTTGACAATTGGAAGGAATGTAGGATTTAGAACCAGAAGTCACCTTCTAGGTGATTGAGACCAACCATTCCTATTTTACAGATGAGAAAACGAAGGCTCATAAAGGTGTGGTGACTTGCGCGAGGTCAAATGGCTAGCAAGTATCAGAGCTGAAATTTGAACTTAATTCAACTTAACAAACATTTCCACCAGATCCATGCCTCATGATTCCAAATCCAGCGCTATTTAGAAGCCACATTGTCCAACCTTTTCATTTGATAGATAAGGAAATTGAGGACCAGAGAAAGACCCACAGTCATTGCCCAAAATCAGTTGTTTAATGGCAAAGCTGGCACAAGAACCCAGGTCTCCTCATCCCCAGCCCAGGACTCCTTTTCACATTTGGAAGACAGTTCTTGTGTTTATCTAGCACCAGGGAATGCTCTGTTTAGCTTCCTCTTCTGATGTGCCCCAGATGAAGAAAAGCCCAAGTCCCTGAGAGGCACAATGAACGGGAGCCTAGCTAAGCATGCAGAGAGCCATAGTGCAGAGCTGGGATGCACCCAGCCATTACTGATACTTTCATCTTGGCCTAAACCCACTGGCATCAGAGTGGGAAAGGTGCTAAGGATTTATGATGTGACCTTCACACCCTAGGACTAAACACCCATACGAAGAAGAAAAAAACCCACTGCTTGTTGCCCCCAGGCTCACCATTATCACTGTTGTCATCTACCAGGATGATCTCTTTGAGCAAGTGAGATGGGGTATGGTTGACAACGCTGTGCACTGAGCGAAGGATCACGGAGAGAGCTTCATTGACAAAAATGAAGACCACGGAGATCTGGGGCAGGTCCTCAGAATACATTATGTGTTTGCACCTGAAGAAGACAGGTGGGGGAAGGGAGGAGATATGGAGAAGGCAAGAGGAGATAAAAAGATCATAGATTTAGAGCTGAAAGGCGCCAGAGAGGTCATCTAGTGCAACCCCATCATTTTACAGACAAGGTGACTGAGCCTCAGAGAAGTTAAATGACTGGTCCAAAGTCACACAGCCTGAATATCCAGGGAATCATAGACCTAGAGCTGTTGGACATCTAGTTTTTATGGACACTAGAAGTCATCTAGTCTCACCCTTTCATTTTTCACCATTGTAGATGAAAGTGATTTTGGAAACTCAAGGAAGAACCAAGATTTTAACTGAACTTTGGAGACCTGGGACAAAATGGAGAGCTAGAGAGAAGGGAGAGTGTTACAGGCACAGTGAGTAGAAGCATGGGGTCAGGACACCATAAAGCATGTTGGGGACTGAGTCATCCAGTCTGATGGAAGTCTAGGTCATTTGGATAATGACCATAGATAAAGGAATTATGGTGGCCTAGTAGAGAGAGAGCCAACCTTGGCTTCAAGGAGACTTTGTGGGTTAAAGTCCTGCCTCTGAGATCTTCTAGCTGTTAGATCACAGTAGTAAAAACAATAGAATGGAAACTCCTTGAGGGCAGAGGCTATCTCATTTTTGCATTTTTATTGCTAGTGCCTAGTGCAAATGCTTGTTGATTGAATAATTGACTGACCATTAGCAAGTCCCTTAACCTCTAAGTGCCTTAGGTAATTCTCTAAGACTCTCTCTCTCTCTCTCTCTCTCTCTCTCTCTCTCTCTCTCTCTCTCTCTCTCCCTCTTTCTCTGTCTGTCCCTTTTCCCTCTCCCTTCAAGCCTCTGTTGCCTTAATCAGTAGTTTTCAGTCATGTCCAACTCTTTGTGACCCCCCCCACC